GGCAGGAAAATAATGCGGGGCGTGCATCTGTCATGCATTCCGGCGTGCAGCCCGGGTATTTGATGCATCAGATTATGAGTGCATTAGTACGTCATGGAATGCAGCGACGTTGTGTGCAGAGGGTCATGCCTTTCATGCACGAAACACACACAAACCATGCTAGCACTGTTATAGGAACATCCAGATAGAAATTTTACCTAGAGCGCACCAGGTCAGCCATACAGACTACATCTCGTTCATTTTTAGGTGTCCAAATAGAAAGGATAGATCGGTAGTTATGTTTTGTATCGTTACACGCTGTTTTTGACGAGCGCTAGCGTGTCTCAGGTGCGATCTATACTACTGCGCTATGTAATCGAGCAGCGCGCCTGCTTGCGCTTGTGCCTCATCGTCATACGTGCCCTCAATCCCTACTTCCACCTCGATCGCGCTCGGATCTGGGAAATGCGGGGGATCGACTGCTCCGGAGTGGCCTCCCTTCCCTCGCGGCGGCCCGGCGTCTTCTCGCCCTCGAAGCGAGGGTCCTTATGTAAGTCTTCGAGAAACGCTAGATTGTACGCGTTAGCTGCCTCGCGGTGCCGGACAAAGTCCAGGGTCGGCCCATAGAGGATGTCGTCGGACTGCTCGAGTTGCTTGAGGACAGCGGCGAAGTCCTGCTGCTCGTCACGTATGTGTGTGTGGAGGCGGCGCGCATCGCGATACACGATCTGGATCTCTTCGCGAGCCGCTGCAAGCGCCGCCAGGTCCCGATCGCCTCCCGGACTTCCGGCCGCGCCCAGGTTTTACCGCTGACGTCATTCCATGATCCGTGCAGGAGAGCAAACTCGCGAACAAAGGAGTAATGGGAGACCTGATTCCAGTCGACGAGGGGCTTCTGTAACACTGCGGCCGCCTTGTTATACGTTGCGATTGCCCGCCGGATCGCCGCCGACCTCTTCTGCATGTTCTTCGCAATGTGAGAGCGCATTTTGTACCCTATGATGCGCTCCCGATCAGCGCTTAGTCGTACGATCACACATCACTCACCTGTCTGCGCGAGATGAGCTTGTGCAGCTCGAAGAGGCGTTGAATAACCAGACGTTGAAGTTTTCCCAGCGCCTGATGGTAACGCCGAGTCGCCATATACGCCTTTGCCTTTGTGTAGCGCGTGTCAGTGGGCAGCCACCGCGTCATGTTCCAGGTGTCCTCGATCTCGGCTAGCTCTTGATCGAGGTCGTTGATCCGCTTGCGCAGCACGCGGTTCGTGCTCTCGTCCGCCGCGTCTCCCGAGCGTGCGCATTGTAGTCAGTGATCGGGCCTGTGTACGGGACCTGAAATGAAATCCCGGAGCCGTCGGAGGACGAAGAGCCGCCCGCGCCCCGCTCGCGCCGCACGCGTGCCCGCGCCCGCGCCCTCGCTCGCGCCCGCGCCCGCGCCTCGCTCGCGCCTGCACCCGCGCCCTCGCTCGTGCCGCGCCCGCGCCCATTGGCGGTGGCTGCCCCAGCATGAACGCGCGGGTCGCGGGGTTGCGGGTCGCGCGCTTTGTAGCTGTGCGAGTTTTTTTGTGCATATTCCTCGCTGCGCGCGGGTCAATATTGTGTCGCATCTTCGAAAGAAAAGGGACACACCTCATCACTCTGAGGTCCTCCAGCCGCTCCACATAGCTCAAAGCCCACTCATCATCAGGGTTTTCGTCGCGCAGGGTCGCAAAATAGAGGCGCTCCTCTTCGGCTGCTTCGATCAGCTGCGCTTCTGTCAGCTGGAGCCGAGGCAGTACAGTGATCAAGAACTCCTCGGACTCCTCGATGATCTTCATCGCCTGTTGGAAGTTGTTGCGCAGGAACACAGCGAGATTTGTATACTTCTCTTCATCCCAGCGACGGAAATAGAGCACAATCAGACTGTGCCGTCGGTACTTGCTCGCGTAACGGATGATCGAAGCGAGCGCGTTTGATCCGCTGAATATGCGCTCCATTGTTTCCAGATCTTCGATGCCGCGCCGGTGATGACATTAGGATGATGGTGAAGCTGGCAGATGTAAGAGTGAGAGTAGCCGTGGAAAGCATTGACGATGCACAGAGACCCGCGCCTCCGGAACTCGGGACCAGCGCTGCTGCGCGCGAGGGTGCCTTGGAACACGCAGCCGATGTCGTACCCGAGGAGTATGTTGCCGGGCAATTCGGTGTTGATCTTGTCCACCATCGCGATGCCGTACTTAGCGCTGTGAATGATCCGTCAGTTACGCGTCCCACCTAGTCATCATTACTTACAGTTCACCACTCCGGATCATGTCCGCGACCCAGAGGATCCTACCATGCCTGCATGCACTGGCGAAGATCCCCGTCTCGTCGAAGCCCCCCACATGTGCTTCTTCTCGTCTGCCGCAGCCGCCTTCCAATTCGTGGCACACGGGCTCGGTGCGCCCGCCTCTCCATCCGTGGGATCGCCTTCTGTGTCCGCGGGACCCGGCACCGGCTCGGGAGCCGGCTCTATGGCATCGACGTCATCTCCATCATCTCCGAGATCAACGGTCGGCTTCGGCTGTGCCTGGCGCGCCGGCACTTGGTTCGCGAATTGATCAACGAATGGTGGCCCCAAGTAGTAGGTGTTCTTGTAGTGTCGCCGGTCACCAACCATTCGATACTTACGAAGGAGCCTTTTTAGGGAGTTATTTGCATCCATGCTACCCATGCGCTCGAAGCGGAGAGGGCCTCTCCTTCCAGCTGGTCGGCACCTGGTCAGCCGGGCACGCGCTCGGCACGTCGCGTAGATCGGACCGGAGACGTACCTTGTATCCACATGGCGGGCATCCGAAGCGCGGACGCCAGTTCGGATCACCGCGCCCGAGCCGCTGCTGGATCTCGGCATCGACGTCATCAAGAACTTCTAGATAGATGTCGAAAGCATCTGCGAGTGCCGTGCGATAGTGGCGTCGGTATACCATCTGTTATCTCCAGGTAAGCTTGAAGACTATTAATAAGATCAAGAGGCTCACATAATACTTGTAACAGATGAGCTTAGCGAAGGCCTCTGTGCTGAAGGATGCCTTGACGAGCTTCAGGCACCGGAACAGTTCCAGCGTCTCGAAGGATATCGCAAGCAACGGCCCGACCGGGGTGTTGCCGAGGTATCCGGCCAAGGCCAGTGCTTCCAATGTCCACTGCCCAGATGATACTTCCACTGTGACGTTCTTCCGCAGGCTGTACAGGTCGACACACACAATTGTGTGTTGCTCAGGCGGCGCCTCTTCTTCCGAAGGTGTGTCTTCTTCGGGAGCTGCGCGCTTGCGCTCCTCTTGCCGACGCGGAACACCATACTTCCACCGCAGGTATGCTGCCTTCACATACGGGAAAACGCGCTGCCAGTTCTCGTCTTGCGTGCGGAGACGATCACGCCAGGAACGCTCGTCAGGGCGCATGCTAGACATACTATGTTATTTCTGCCCCTGGTCATAGATCTTTGCACTCACCCTGTTGTCATATTATTTTCTAGAGCCACACGGAAAGCTTCAACATCTGCGTCGTCCGCCCAAGCATTTTCTTCGTCGTCGCCTTCCACTGCACCGCCATCAGTTGTGTTGCTGACGTCTCCGACGTTGATATTGGGGCCCTGCATATCATCTATTTCGAACGCAGCCATAGCAGCAGCCCGATCTAAGCCACTGAGATCTATGTACTGGTAAGTCTCTGGCTGCTGCATATGTGCATGGAACGTACTGTTGACAAGGTCTTCGCGCCGCCTCCGCACTGCATCATCCGCTGCATCTAGATCGACAGCGCGGATCGTCTCCCGTTTGGAGGTACGTCCACCCAGCCCCTTGTTTTTCCCACCTCTGCTTCTGTTGCGTGGGCCCAAGATGGTGACCCCATCTGACACTCGGTTCCCACTGCTAGACTGAGAGATGGGCATGGGGGTAAGGCAGCACTTCCATCCCCCTGTTCATGAGATAAACAGTGCAATCATTATCGATTATCTTGGTGGCGCTTGAGCGCGATCAATCCGAGGCGTTGATTCTGAGGCGCCGGCGCCGGCAGCCTCGCGCTGATGGCACAGGCCTCGCGCTGATGGCGCGAGCCTCGCGCGCTGCATCAATCATTGCCGCGGTGCCTGTCCATGTGGCGGCGCTCGCGCCATCAGAGTTCCGCCCTCCGCCGGGGCGTTGAGTATGCTGACATAACCTCCCGCCCTCCCTACGCGGGGGCGGGGGGCAGTGGCGGGGGGCAGGGGTGGTCGGGGCACCACAGAGCACGTCTTACACGGACGAATTGTGTAGATAGATGCGCATTAGTAATATAAGTATATACAAAAAAGAACGGAGCGAATCGGGGAACGGGAACGGGAGGGAGAGCGGGAACAGTGAGCTCGTCGTCGGGGACGGCGAGCAGGACGGCGGGGATGGCCATCACGGACGGGCGGCGCCGGGGGGGCGCCAACAAGGGCGGCCATCAGGGGGCGCGGCGCGGGAATCCGTTCACGTGAGCCGGGGAAGCGCGGAGGAGGGCTGGGCCGGGGCCTCGGGGAAGTCGGGGATGGGGCCAGGGGACTTGTACATAAGCACCCGTTCTAACGTTACCTTACAAGGTATCTGTAGTCGATATCTGTAGAGGCTCTACGGTTCGCAGGCGTAGAAACATTCGCAGTTACCGGAACGGGAATCACCCCAGGGGGGCGATCAAAGATCATTTGATTGCGATATCGGGAGGTACAGGTGCGGGGACGGCGAGCAGGACGGCGGGGATGGCCATCACGGACGGGCGGCGCCGGGGGGGCGCCAACAAGGGCGGCCATCAGGGGGCGCGGCGCGGGAATCCGTTCACGTGAGCCGGGGAAGCGCGGAGGAGGGCTGGGCCGGGGCCTCGGGGAAGTCGGGGATGGGGCCAGGGGACTTGTACATAAGCACCCGTTCTAACGTTACCTTACAAGGTATCTGTAGTCGATATCTGTAGAGGCTCTACGGTTCGCAGGCGTAGAAACATTCGCAGTTACCGGAACGGGAATCACCCCAGGGGGGCGATCAAAGATCATTTGATTGCGATATCGGGAGGTACAGGTGGGAAGATGGCATCGAGGGCGTGGATGGAGACGGATTCGGCGGCTTCAAAGACACCGCGGGGCGCGCCCGGAGGCAGATTCTTGAGGTATGCTTCTACCGGGTCTTGTGCGACAAGGGCATCGACAGGCGGTGGCGCTTGAGCGGCAGCGGCGAAGGCGGCAGGCATGTCGTTGGCGAGGGTGCGGCTCCGCGGAGTGCGCATGTCGTGGGGGACGGACTGAGTGGTGCGGTCGTCGTTCTGGGTGAGTGATGTGGTATTCGGGGTGCGCTTCGGGGTGACAAGCTGACGGACATAGGCACAGTAGTCTGGCGACATAGACAGGAGCTCGACCTCCGAGACGAGCTTGTTTTGGGCCGTTAGATTGCGCTTTGCAACGTTCTCAAGGTGTTGCGGGTCGTAGACAGGCGGGCGCGTGGAAAAGGCGGGAGATGGCTTCGGGACGGCGGGCACGACAGGCCGAGGGGGAGGTGCACCAAAGTTGCGCTGGGTGGGCGGAGCGTAAGTCGCGTCGCGGACGTTGGAGAACGGGTGCTCGTGTGTGGGCAGGTGTGTCGTTCCAGTCTTGTCCGAGGTGCTTGGGAGCTGACTGTAGTCATCGTCAGTGTTGTCAGTAGGCGCGATCTCGGTAACATCTCGCGCGGGACCCGGGAGAGGCGGCAGAGGTCGGGCGATGGCACGTGTCGGCTCATCGGGGGCGCGGCGTACAGGTGCGTCTTCATCTGGTACCTCTTCGATGCGTGCGGAGGGTTGCGGGAGTGGTCCTTCTTGAGCGCGCGGGGCGGGTGTCGGCGGGCGCGGTGCGGGCGGAGCGTCGTCATTGAAGCGGACGAGGCGGCGCTTAGCACGCTCAGATCGGTTGCTGGTGAATGGCGTACTGTGCTGCGCGCGGCGGCGCTCGAGGGCGAGGATCTCCTGTCGGTGGCTCTCGATCTGCTCCTCGAGGTCGAGGTCGAGGTCGTGGGCTGGTGTGGGCACGGGCAGATAAGGAGCAGTGGCAGTGGTATAGGCGGGTGCGGTAGTAGTAGAAGCGGCAGCGGCGGCGGAGTGGAGGATATCGAGTAGCATCTGTGGGGCTGCGTTCACTACGGTGGACCGAGCTTCTGGATGTGCTTGATGGTAGTTTTGGAACCGTTCGCGCATGGTGTTTCCGGGGGTCGTGCGTGGAACGAAGGAGCCGTTGGGCAGGACCAGCTTGCTGTCGATGGTGCGCCGCATCATGAAGCCGGCCGCGATGTCCGCCTCGACGTGTGGGCACGTGCGGATGCCGTGGCTAACATCGTCGCAGTAAAAGCAGCCCGCAGACTGTGGTACGGCAGCGGGGAGGTGTGGAGGGCGGTCGCGGATGAGTGCGGTCGGGAGCGGGGGTTGCGCAGCGCTCATGCCACGCTGCTGGTTGAAGAACATGTTGAGGGTCTCGACAAGCTGAGCGACTTCGGACTTGACCGGTGTTGCAGCGGGGACGGGGACGGTGAGACTAGCGGTGGTGCCGAGACTGATGACCGACGCTTCGAGGACGTGGTGCGCGGCAGCCGTGACCTGTGCGATGGTGTATGCGTCCCGCGGGTATCGAACGGCGGTCTCGGTGATGTGAAGGCGGTCGAGGACGGAGGTGCGCATCGCGGGAGGGAGGCCGTTGATGAAGAGATGGTCCCGGTCTTCGGTGCGGAGCTGCCTGCCCGCGACAAGGACGGTTGCGATGGTGCGGAATTGCCGGCTGTAGATGTTGAAGTCCGCAGTTGAGTCGAGAGTACCGCGCGCCGTGGTGGAGACGTGGAGGTCGAGGTCGCGGAGACTGTAGAGTCCCGTGCTGTTGTCGCCGACATATTCCTTCTTGACGGCCGCTTGAAATTCTTCATAGGTCTTGGTGTTGTCCGTGAACTCCTCGAGGGCACGCCAGGTCGTCTTCTCTGAGTCTGGTGCGTAGCGGACCGCGTGCGTCTTCTTTTGCTGGTCGGTAAGTTGGCCCGCTTGGTCGAAGATGTAGTCTAGATCTTCAAAGAAGCCGATAATGGAGCGGGCGTCGGTGGTAGGGTTGAAGGTGGGAGCACCCGAGGCGCCGCGGAACGGCATGCGGAACGGTTGGGCCATGGCGAGGCGTTGATGGAGGTCAGCGAAGATGGGCAGGAAGGAGGGGAGGTCGGTCTCCGGGCGAGTGGGTGGGAGCTGGGACCACTGGTCGAATGGAGTGTCTAGATAGGAGAGATCCGGGGAAGCAGAGTGGCTGGGGGCGAAGGGGAGGTTGCGGAGGAGAATCGAGCGGATTTCGGATTCGGAGTCTGAGTCGGAGAGGAGGTATCGGAGGCGGTTGTGAGTGGCTAGCGGTGAAGGTACGTCGTCAAAGAGCTCGTCGTCACTGAAGAGTTCTTGAACAGCTATGCGCCAGGCAGCGCGCTCTTCTTCTTGTTCGGCTTGAAGCCGGAGGGACGCGCGAGTTCTGCGCGACGTGCTGGACAAAGGCGGAGGTTGTGGCGGAGGTTGAGGCGTTGGCGATGCGGAGGGTGAAGGTGTGAGGGATGGAAGCGGAGAGGACTGATCAGCCGTGACGGAGGTGAGTGGGCTACTCGCCGAGTACAGAGGCTCGAACTAAAGCAAATGCTCTAGCTGATACCCTCGCGGTGGGCTCCAAGTTGATGGGACGCTAACGCCGGGAGGCGCGCGAAGAAGGGGTGCGAAGGGGATCGCGTGCGAGCTCGTCGAGCTTGTACCACGGGAAGTCGGCCCGGCGCGAGAGGGGAAGGCGAGCGCGAGAAGGAGAAGGAGGAAGCGCGATGCGCGCGGAGACGATGTGGAGGACGGCGAGACGGCTGAGGCGGATGGCGGAGGACGGACGTGCGGAAGGCGGAGGACTGACGTGCGGGAGGCGGCGGCGGCGGTGGACTGAGGGCAGACTTGGGTGAGTGACACGCACGATATGGGGGCGTCGAAACTATAGATAGAGCACAAATACTGCTAGAATATATACATGAGGGCGCAGGCGTCGTAGCAACGAAGTCCGAGAGGGTAGGAGGGCATGTCGGCGAGGAAATGAGGTAGAATAGTCTAAAAGAACGCAGAGAGGAGGACGAGCGAGCGTAAGGCAGAGGCCAGGTAGCGGACACATGATCGTAAACTATGAAAGAGAAACATACGGGGGTGGTTGGTAGAGCGGAGCAAGTTCCGAGTGAGCTGGGATAGCGTAATCCGAGACCGAAGGGAGCGGGAACGGAGCGGAGCGGGGAAATGTGGGACATCGAGGAAATACAGAACGTTCGAAAAGGAATCATGGGGTGCGGGGAGGTGATCGAGAAGCGTCCCGACGCGCAGGGAACAAGTGACACGTCCGAGAGCGTGGTGGGCTTGGCTGTCGGCGAGGTCTGGCTCGCGCGCATGAGCAGCGGGTGGCGGCGGCGATGTCGGTCAGTGCGCGCGTTGATGTGTATTGCACGGGGTCTTGTTAGTGGTGATGTCTCGGGGGTGTCGGTGATGGGGCGGTCGGTGCGTCGCGCGGGCTGGTGGGCGTGCGGTTGGAGTTGGTTCGCGTCGCGGTGGTTTGGTACGATGCGCGCTGCGCGCGCTTGGCCGCGCGCGGTGCGCATCAGCGATACAGCGAACGCGTCCTCGGGCGGGACTGCCCAGAGGATGTAGATTGAATCCCCAGGTTTCCTAGGTGAGAACCGTAGTAACGGTTTTCCGTTCGGTTTGACTATAGTAAGCGCGGCTTTATCTGCGCGCGCTGACATTCCTTCTTGTAAGAAGGATCCGAGTGAAATGAGGCGTCCACCTAGATTAGGTAGGTAGTTGACGGGGTGCAGCCGTATGGCGCAACGTTCGCCGTCAAGTGCGCTTGCGGTGTTGATGAGTACTGTGCCGAAACCCTTTACGAATGTTACTCCGTTTGCTGTGCGAACAGGGGTGGATTCATCTTCGAGCGGAGTGAACTCAATGAAATCATTGATATCATGGGTATAGTGCTCGGAGGCTCCGGAGTCGCACATCCACGAGATAAGATTCGCGTAATGCGGATTATCAGGGCGCCAGCGCTCATCGTCGGTTAGACCCATCCGCGCGCGGTCTTTTCCTTTGCAATCTGTACACGCGGTGTGGGAGCGGCTGCTCGTCCTCCTCCGGATTTTGCGCTTTTTGACCTTGAATCGACGGTGCTTCAGGCATCGATAAGCCGCCGGATCTTTCCATGGTCAGCGGGCTGCGGTGAGGCAATTCAGCGAGGTCTCGGTTGACGGTTCGGCGATATTTCGGTAGGCGATGATTATCGGGTTGGGTCTGTGCGCTGCCTCGTCAAGCGTGGTGGCTCGGCCCGGTATGTTTGCGTATGTTTTCGGCGTGGCGTTCGGCGATATCATAGTCAGTCTGTGTTGTTACTAGGGCTCCAAGCAATCCACCCCCACCCACTCTGACGAGACCTAGCGTAAAGCGACGTCAAGAGTTTTCGTCGGCGACTTTGCTGCCTGCGTGCTGCTTCCACGCCCTTCCCTCTTCTTCTGTTCGCCGCGCGTACTCGGCGAAGTGCCACGTTAAGTTCGGCTCACGGAACTTCGCCGACGTGGACATCGGTTCGGGCCCAAGACCGACCGTTGGTACTCTTCCTTCTCTTCCCCCGAGGCGCCGTTACGGCCATCCTGCCATCTCCTATCTCTCCGCCTCTCCCCCCCCCTTTGTTGTTTGTTTGGTGGTGGTTCTGCCTCAGTAGACGCAGAGGTGCCAGCAAGACCCCACAGCG